AGACCTATAGTTCTTAAATGCTCGAGCCAAAGTCCCCTGCAACTTTAAGAGAGCCCCTGACAACTCGCCAAGCACACAGAGCTTTCTTTGTCCCAGTCCCCGTTGCTGACAAAGAGCAATAGCACGTCTGCTGTGCACACAAGTGGGAAAGCACAGATGGGGCCATGTCACCAGCTTCCCCCCACTAGCAGGGTAAGCAGTCTCAGGCAGGGAGAAGGGCTCATCTCTCCCCCCATCAGGGTATAGCCTTCACCCACCCTGCCTGAGAACAGCTCCTAGCACACTTGAGAAGTTCACTCCCTAATTCAAGTTACACGAAGAACAGATAACTGGTGTCAACATCACCTGCCCGAGTGCAAACCAGCAATTATACTCCATAATTCCACTTTCAAGACCAAGAGCCTCCAGGATCCTCTGGTGCCAGAATGGCCTAGAGCTCCTACGTTAACACACACAACCACCACAAAATGGATCAACAGAAGAAGATAAAACCCAAATCGCGTTAGTGCAATGCAATTGTATTTGCGCAATACAAAGTGCGACAAAACAGAGAATCAAAGTTTTGCCTATTTAATCACAACTTGTGGAGTCTCCATCTTTAAGAGATGATACAGTTTAGGATGGAAAACACAAAGTTACCTCCAGCTATAATGTAACCAATAGTTACTTCAGGTGGGGTGAGACAGGTGACAAAGATTTGGCCCAACACTGAAATAAAGGATAATTTTCCTTTGTTAAGTGAGGTTTCCCTGGTGTAATTTCAAGGACCTCTTAAATAAAAATTTCAAGTGGAAACTCATTTTAACGTACAAAGTAAATCCAAAGTGAAGTGACATCGTTACAGTTCTGTCTCTTGCTGTAAGGCAGCGGGACTTGGAAGCAGCTGATCCACATGCGCAGCAGCCCCTTTCATACAGCATTCATGGTCTCTAGGGCGCTTTCACTCCCGTGTGTGTCAGAGCTTTCATATTTATTACACACTCATCATTTGGCTCTGCAATGCAGCTAACCAAGTGCAGCTCTGCAGAGCTACTCAAGCTTGAAACAAAAAGGTTTTGGGCCTTGATCAGAACAAGTTTCTATTTTGAAAGTGAACTAAGCCATTTCTTTCTGCATGCTCTGTCCGGCCAACCCACAACATTTGCAATAATGAAAGTGTACCTCAGATGGGTTTAAAAGAATTAGTTCCCCAACTCTCAAGTTAGCAATGATTAATTGTATCTTGTGTTGTGTCACAAGATGTTTCTAAAGATATCTGCCCTACGTGGGGCAGTTCTTACACATATAAACAGGTTACAACACAAACTTTTTTTTTTTAAGACTGCAATAAACAGCATCTATTAAGAACAAACGTGGCTGCAGATAAAAGTCAAATGTCAGAAACAAGTCAACCAATTTGGAAAAAAGGCTTTAAAACCCTATACAAAGACATGAGGAGGGAGGGAAGAATGAAAACCAGAATCCATGGGGCAACTTGCCAAACTTTTTATCTAGATGGTATTAATATACCACCTATATATACACAACTCATGTATATAGAATCATATGCTGGACACCACAAACACACCTGAAGGTATAAGAGCTTTCAAGCCTAATGTTACATGTTTTGGTGAGGCTTTTCTGCTTATCACACAAGTAATAGCTATGCCAGCCTTGTCCCTGGCACTACTGAGCTTCTATTACAGTGGCAGAGGCTGCTCTGGTTCTGCAGTACTGCTAGGATGGTGTCCCACTGCAGTGGGACAGTTCAGCTGCAGCTGAAAAATTGGGGCTATTAAGCCTCCACCACACCCAGCCTTCCTAACCAAGCCTACCTGGAGTTAACCATGTGCATGCAAATAAAATACCAAATTCAAATCTACATAGTTGTCAGCTTGCACGAAAAGGAAAATTTTCATAGCTCCTCAGCAGCTGAAGACATTGAGAATAGGGCATGACTGGATTTAACACAGAAAACAAGAAAAATCCATCCCCTGCCTACTTTTTTTTTTTTTTTTGGCAGTGAGGAGGGGAAGGGAATTGTCTCATATCTCTGCTAAACCAGCCTGGAAGACAAGAGACTCAACGGGTTCCTTTTCCTTTCCGGCAAGATCATCTTTAGTCAGCAGAAAACAGCCCAGTTCAAAAGCTATTCTAAAACAACGCCATAAAGTTCTCGCCTGCCTTCCCTCACTCCACAGCGCGAGTACCGGTAGGTGATTCAGCACAGCAAATGACAGCATGCCACGCAACTTCATTTCTTAGCAGACTGCCTGCTCACACACACAAGGAAGTGAGTGCTTTTGGACTGCCAGTAAGAGGAGGATCAGATCTTTTTTGTCCCAAGAATTTCTAGATTAAGATATTTACAGTATTACCCATGTTACGATTATGTCTGCCTTTAAAGGCATGAAAAAAGAAGATATAACTCAGCCTTTAATTACAGATACAGAGTTTAGGCTAGGTGAAGTGATGCGGAAGGTTCAGACTACTCCCTATTCCTTAAATGAAAAGATATATTTACATAACAGTACACAGGGAGTCCCAACAACGCATCTTAATGAACAGGTCTGCGCAGCAGATCAGATCCAGCCCATTGGATCACTGATCGCTTTCAGATTTTCAAAGACCTGATGTGAACTTCATCTAGAGCTATGTCTTTATTAGCAGAATGTTTATTTTATGACCTCAACTCAAAGGTCAATATTCTAATCTAAGCTTCAGGAAAGCCTTCAATGGGAACACATCTGACGATGTCTGTGACTCAATATTCCCTATCTTATCCATTGTGTTGCATGCAGTATTTAGGAATCAGGACATTTATGGAGATGAGTTTCACAAAACTTAATAAAACCTGATCATCACTGGAAATTACAGACATCATTCACACTTTATCTGGAGAAACAATGTATTGAAGACAGCAAAACAAGATAGTGTGCAGCGCTTATTATTTTATTGCACTCATTTTTGTACACACTATCAGTTATTTCCACACTGCTTTATTTACACAGAATCCAGATTCTGCTACTTTAATCATTCACTACTACTTAAATAATATTATCAGTGAATTGGCTGCTTTATCAGTTAAACTGGTAACCAGGATATCTGAGAACTCAAGCTTTTATCAATATTAACTTTGAGATGAAAGCCAGTTGCAAACAGATTGCACTACAGGTTAACCATCATTACCGATTCTCTTGTCAAGATCTGTCCTCATCATTGTGGAGCAGTTCTCATGCCATGTTCTTCTCCATTCCTCCCAACACCTCCACCTCATCAGCTGAGCCTAATTTAGTCTTGCCTGCTCTAAGTGAGCTGGTAGGATTCACAGTGGGAGGCCACTGCTCCCCCTTAGACCCAACACAAAGCCAATAACCTTTAAACAGACATCAGGAATTACCACTCCTCAGCTTTGACAGAAATTCACAGCATCTCACATATATCACTATTAGAATCTGCTGTTTGGTTTGTTTGGGTTTTAAATCATTAGCAATATGCAACAGTGATTACAAACAAGTGCCATTCTCTTCTAACACACACAACACCTCACACAGTTTATTAAAAAGTTACTTTTATTATAAAGCACAGAAGCTGAACACCTGTAGCTAGCTTATATGGTGTCCTAATGAATGACACTGTATGTTCTTTCAGTTAACAAGGCAATTCATATGAGAATACATAAACATTTATATACACACCCAACACAAGAAGTTAATATTGCATTCAATATGCATCACAAGTACAGTAGAAGACTGGTGAAACGCTTAGTTCCTATTCTCTTCCCTCCCTGATCCCATATTAGAAGTTTACCAGAAAATTATGAAAGGCATGCACTGCAGAGCCGACTCTTCCAATTTCTAAACTTAATCCTCTTTCCTTTTCTCATGTCCCCTCCCATAGATACATGGCCATACAGCTACCAGTAACGTTTGCAGCCCAGATAATGCCAACAGACTGAGCCAGCCACAGATGACCACCTGCTTCAGCTCAGCCTGCTCACTGCCCTCCCTTCTGCTTGTTCTCAAGAAAGTTTCTGTGCAACAGCATTTCAATACCATTCTAGTAACACAAAGCTCATGCAAACACTGATACTTTTTGCTCTGAGTGTTAAGCAACATTCAAGTTGTACACAGCTTCAGGCTTTGAATGATGTAATGAATGTTGTGGAGTCCCTTTTCACACCCAGCTTATTCCGAGACAAGTTTTTCCTTTAGCTAATTCCATGCAATTCCTGATTCTATCAGTAAAGCTGTACAGCATCAAACTAGAATCCTTTACTAGTTCTTCCTCTCCTTCACTGAAAAGGTGAAATCACCAACTCACACTGCATCTAGACCAGCTAGCTCTGTACTGCCAAGATCCAGCCAACTTAAATACCTCTACACATCTAAGGCAAAGATATGAGACTGAGCTTGCTTGCCTACGCTCCAATCAAACAAAGTAATAAGAGTCCAAGAGTCACGTTTATTACCCCAAGAAAGCTGTAAGTTTTCTTATATTGCTGGAAAAATGTCATCATTCAGGATAAAGGCCAAACTTCACATCTGACATGAAAGCATAATACTCCAAAACCCTCGTTTTAGTTATCAGTCCCCAGAAATCAAGCCAGTTTGATGCCTGGAACACCTTTTATAGACTTCTCTTGGGCTTTTGCTTTCTGAAAAGTTCTTGTAAATATTTTTGTCAATCACTGTATTTTGGTTCCAACTCTGACAGTCTTGACAGCTATTTTCCCTCTCAATAGTCCTCACACCTGCAATGACTATGTAAGAACACCAAACTTCAATAGCTACGTTAAAAACTTCACCTTTGAGATACCAAGTCGTCACTGAAACAAAAAAGACACAAAACAGTAACAATTTTTGCCGATGGTCTCAGTTTCAGAGGCACTACAATTGCACTCGCACAAACGTCCCTCTCCCTTTCCAGTAGAAAGTCAAGCCTAAAAGATCCCACATTTGTTTCCAGCATTACAACAGACAGTCTTGCCTTGTTCACGGCAGTGAACAGTTCCTACTTACATATCCCAACAATAACAGAGGGCGTGTGTTCCAGTCGCAAGTAGAAGAGAAGATTGTAAAAATTGAAACAGATCAGAGAGAAGCATAAAATGACAGAGATCCATTCTTGTAGTCTCTTTCCTGTTGGAAAAAAAGGAAAAAAAAGCATGTTTTACTTTTATCTGAGAGAACATTTTGAAGTCTGAAATAATACAGACAGACTATTCTACTGCCTGCCTGACTCACTCCATCTGTCTGACAGGGAGCTGAAAGAGAAACTTATTTATCCATGGGAGGTGTGCAGATTTTGTTAAATGACGTTCCTCTTCCCCGAGCCACTACTTATTCCTTCCCTCTGCCCTTGCCCAAATAACAAGGACAAATCAGACATCATCTCACATTGTCCTAGTTTCCTTTTCCCTGCGGTTGCTGGCATAACGTTCCTCCGCATCACATCTTTTTCCAAATTTGCATTTCATTCAATATTCAGCGTTGCTGGTATGGCTGAATCTGGCAACAAATTTCTGGCCTCAGATGCCCTGTAATTAAATCACCTTATGATTTGTAATATTTAAAATCTCAGAGCTTGTAAATAAAGCTGTTGTACTAACAGGAAAAAGCATCATCCTGTATTTTGGTGGCCCTAGAATTGCTTTCCTAACATTGCAAGTATACTTTTTGAGCTTGCTTACTTAACTCCTGCAGTCTTGTCTTTGCCTTCCTGCTCCCAGGCAGAAGGCTACCACCTCTCAGCCATTCTGAGATGAGAAGAGACAGAATAAGCAAAGAGAAAGACCTGGCACAAATTCTCTCTTGTACCTCGCTGTACTACTTTGTACCTCTACAAAAACCTCATTTATTGCCTATAAAAAGAGAACAGACACAGCAGAGTATGGTAACACTTTGAATAGCCAGACTGACAGGCAGAAGCTTTCTGCTGCTAATCACTGCTAGAGCCGCACAAGGCGCTGACGTTGAGAGCGAGGGAACGCTCGATGCAAGACCCATAGGGATTAAGGCATCAGAAACAGACCTTTAATGCCTAAATCCAAGGAGGTCTGAGCTGCCACCTTGGCCCAGAAGGGCCCTAGCTGTAGTTAGCTCTTAACATGCTCAGGAGCAGATAGGTCTGTCTTCACCTATTTTAGGGGGCCAGTCAGCACAGCTGCCTCTTGCCCATGGCTCCCCAGAGCAGTTAACCCCACGGTCCATTCCTCACTCCCTCCTGCAGCCTTACACACTTCACACCACTCGAGTCTGAGGCAAAGCAACATGCAGGGGAACAATCAGTACTGACTACATGCAAGGTAAGCATCCTCTCACAGGAGTGGAGGCACACTCCCATGTCTGGCACATCTTCAGGACAGGAGCTTCTTTCGTACTACTCCTCTATGTTGACCCACCGTCTGGTCAAATTTCTCCTCCTAAATGCTGAGTCAAGTCCTTCTTCTCAACTATACCATGCAATGAAAAGGAAACTAGGAACATCAAAGGAGGATCAGTATTACCTCCAATGTGCCTACAATGCAATATTCTAAAGAAGTGCGAACAAAGACTTTTTACAGTTCAGAGTTTTGTTCTAGAAAGGCCATCAGTATATAAATTAACATCCTCTGCAGTAGCAGAGAAGAAAATCATAAAATTAAATTAAGACACAAGAACAAGCGTATTTCAAGACAGCATCAGGTCACAATGTGGGATATTCTATAAAGAGATCCCTGGAGTAATGAAAGTAAGAGTTAATTAACACTCACTTCCTGCATAAGAAAACCACACCCTGATTAGAGGAGCTAAGTGGGTAGATCCTCACGGAACAATTAGCTGACTGCAGGGAAACACTAGGCTCCGTACTAGCAAGTCCCACGGGTTCAGTCTATGCAAACACCACTGTACTCTGAACACAGAGATCCCAAGACAACTGTCTGGAGATATCCAAGTCCAGAAACGCAGCCCCAGCTCTGGACAGACTGGGAATCAGTCGAAGAAGCGGAGTCAGCACGAATAACTCGTGTTTAAAGAACACTCAAATTTAAAAGCATGTCCCACATGAAGGAATAAGGCGCCAGAGCCGCAAAGTATATGCTTAAAGAAATCGTGGAAATACTCCAGAGTCATATTCACTCTGCACAATTACACGTAATCCCCGTTCTTAAGAATTCAGTGCTTCAATATCACATGCTTCCACTGTAACACATATTCTGACATCTAATATATTATCACAGCTCACTGCTGACAGATATCACTATACATATACTACTTCACAGACTTCTCAGGAACTTCCTTTTACAAGCTAAAGATAAGGGTAGCAAGTTGTTTGGAGGAGAAAATCTTTTCCTTATGAGCAAGCGCACAGTGCAATAGTAAAGTTAGTGACTGCTTTTCTGTAAAGCGCAGGAATCAGTCACTGCCTGGATCAGAACAGTGTATCTAGACCAGCTGAAAGACGTCACACACCACCTTCGCAGGGTGGTGATGTCACACACCACCAAGGCAAGGAAGAGGTGACCAATACAAGCTGAAATGGGCAGACTTGCCCTGAACAGTCTAGAAAACTGACAAAGTAATGAACGCCTTTGCTTTCTTATCATTACTTGGCTCTGTACAAGGAGGAACACCTGCCTCTCCGGTAATTGCCTTGGATGCGTAAGCTGGGCTGTTCAGCTGACCTGCTGGAAACTGCAAGATGCTGAAGACATGTCTTCCCTTTCCCAATCCTTCGCCTGCAAATGAATTCACTGGGAATGGCAAGAATACCTAGCACTGCTCACACTGTGAGCTAAAAACAAACGGCGTATTTTATTATAAGGAGTTTGCAGTTATTCCCATAGCATAGTCGAATAGCTGTTGTCACTTTATTGAGCTCTGACAAATAGCGAGCTTCGGGAAGACAAGACCAAAACAAAAATTCAAACATCCCCCCGCCCCTCTCTGAGGCGCCAGGACCGGGTATCTCGGAGTAGTTCACTGAATAAATATTCTGAAGCGAAAGCTTCCGTTGTTACCTTGCTTAGCAACCAAATTCGCACATCTGCTTTTGGACGGGAAGGTTAACTTTTTGTTTGTTTTTAAAGGGAAGAGCATTCATTCCGGGCAGTTTCTAGTTCGAAAGCCTCCACCCCGGCAGCACAGCCCGTTTCTTAGACCTGCTTTAAGTAGCCACACTCACCGGCTCTGCCCAGGCCGAGATGAGGGCGGGCAGCAGGCGGAC